ATCAATAGTGTGTCTTGTATCCTTCTGGGCTAGGAAGGTTTTGTCTTTCAAAATGGCCTTGTGTGGCTACAGGCTCGAGCTCAACCAGTCAGTTATAAACAGAAAGCACTTTCAGTGAGCTAGATTGTCAAGATGGGTGGGATGGGTGCCTCTTCCTGGTTCCCTGATGAGAGAACTGGAGACGTACCCTGAATCCCAACTAGCCTTTAGAGCAGCAATCCTAACTGGTGTTCAATTTACTGCTGGGCCCTGGCGGCTCATGGGAAATCTGCAACAGGACAGTGGCTGGGAGAAGACTCTTCTTTCAAGAGGATCTTGGAGGCTGTTCTAGGTAACACCCATCTGAAGAGGCTCTCTGAAAGCTGCCTGGAGAAGTTAAATGTGATAAATGCTTGGATGTTGGCTCCTTGAGGAGCCATTAGGAGGGACCTACCTCCTTAGCCAAGTAGCTTCCACACGGTGGTGTGAATGTGGTTTGCATGGGGTCATTAAATAAACAAGTGCTGACAATTTTGCGTATGTGCTTGGTGATATTTATTATACCTTCTTCAAGGAACTGGAGGGCCATGTTTATTTAAATCAGTAGAATCCATACGTTCCCTCAGCTCGGTGCAAACACGCCCAAGCAGCCGGAGCACGCCTGAAGTGACCAGTTGGCTTGATCTGTCATGGTCTGTGCTCTCCAGAAGAACAACAGCTGTAGGACTCTTATTTTTGTGATGTGGAGCATGTCTGGGTGTGTGGCAGGGGGAACCGAAATGTCTTCTGCTGACTTTTTATACTTTCAGATTTTTTCGTCGCTCATTTTGGAAAAGGGAAGCCCTCACTGGGGCCAAATTTATAGGTTTTTCTGTAAATGAGTTTTTTGTGTCCCCCCCCCCCAACTCCACTGGTGACTGACTTCCAGGGGTGGGAAGGTAACGGGGCTGAACTTCTCACCCTGCAAAAGGAGATTCCTAGTGAGGCTCATGTTTAGGTGAGAAGACTCTTCCCAGTGGCAGACACTTGGATGCTCCCAAGAGACTTAATGGGCCTTCAAACCACGGGATCCATGGTGAGGAAGCTTCAGGCTTTGAGGACATGCTACCTGGAGCTGCAATTTGATGAGGGGGGCTGTTAAAATCTCTTGTCAACTCTACTCTGGGACACTGCACTTTCATCCTCTCTGCTTATGTATTATCATTTTGACCTTCTGTTTTATTTTCTTTGTCTCTTATTATTATTTTAAGAAATTATTTTAAGACTCTTAAAATTTTTCTTTTAAATATTCTAGTTTAGTTGTCTTAAAGCTAGCTCATTTTGGGGATCCAGAAGCCCCAAAGCAAAGCAATCATGATGTCAGACCAAGTTCTTTTCTTGTCCCAAATTTGTATCTGCGGGCTCGTTTCTCATGCTGGCGGCAGTAAGGAGTACAGTGTTTACTGTAGAATTAGAAACATTTATTGTTGCTTCCCAAAGGTCAGGGTGAAAGGCACCGACTGCAAGTTTTGGCTTTGCACACACACTTGGCCATCGGGCTCCTTTGGGAATTGTCCCGAGGCTTCTGATTCCGATGGGTCATGGCCCCTTTGCCAAGACACTGTGGGAAGCACCCCCGCTCATGCCTGCACACTTGTAGTCAGTTGCAGGATTCCCTGGCAGCTGGTTTGGACTCATAGCTGGGTATACAGGAGATCCTTGAGAGCTGGGGGAGTTTTGTGACTGCAAGAGGAAGAGGTGGGGACTTAGAAACTGCTCTCCTTATGGTCGCTGTGCTGGGCACACCTGTTGACACTGTGGGTTTGAAGGAAGTCCAGACTTCAGAAGCTGATACCCTCTGCTCACAGCACCTCCCCCAAGCCTGCTTTGTTCATTGATTCGAAAACAACAGGAGGCAGGAAGCCACCACTTGACAAGATCCTGGAAATGCCCAGCTGGCCCCTTTGCAGCCAAGTGTTCGATGTGTCCACTTCCTGGGAGGGAGTGGGCTCGGGAGTCCTGTGGGCCCTTCCGCAGAAGTGCACATGCAAACAGAGGGGGTTAGCCTCGTACCTGCCTTTGAGCGGCTTGAGATGCCTACCTGTGAGAATGAGTCTTTCTTGTCCCCCGGCTGAATGACGGGTGTGACCACAGTGCTCAGACCCCCAAATAACCCTGTCCCCTGAGTTTCTCCCCAGGGCATAATGCCTCAGGCTGTACTCTGTGCCACAGAATAGCTGGAAACCCAATTGCAGACACACATAGCTTGAGTGATACGGGTGTGAACAAAGCCGATGTGGCTGTGGATGACTGAGGATGAGTGAGCAGAGTGTGGGAGGGCAGGTGGCCTTGTTGTCTGCCCCTTCGGGCCCCACCTGTGCTCTGGGGCCAATGCTGGGCATCAGTGATCAGGAGGGGAAGTGGCACATGGAATCTGTGCAGGGGTGAGGCACCCAGAAGGAGGGTTACAAGGGGGATTAAGAAATAGCTGGAAGGATGGGATGTTCGTTCAGACTCTACAGGGGACCTGGTATCCGTCTGCAGAGGCTGGAAAGGGATATGGCTACTAACGGGAATGATAATATTAGCTCGCATTTATTTAATGCTTGCTCAGTGCAGTCTCTGCGTTAAGCATGTACCCTCCCCGGCGTGTACCTTTAGGATCCTCACTGTGTAGATGAGAAGGCCGTAGATGGATTATGAATGGCGAGTTTCATCAGAAGGCAAATGCAAGGGAAAATGGTGCTTGTTACCATGTGGCCCGTCAAGTCGGAGGAAGAGCCTCCCGGCGCTGTAGCTCCCCAGAGGAAGGCGGAAGTGGGTGGGGGACGGGAAGGCAAAGACCACGTAGGTGGACGTGGCTTTGGGAGCATCCCGGGTGTTACTGCAGCGAATCCTCACAACCACTGTGGAAGACATGAATCAGTGAGGTCCAGGGTGTTAAAAAAATCATCTGAGACCTTTCTACCAGTAAGCAACAGCCCCGATTTGAATACGGGTATTTTTGGCTCTCAAGTCCACTGTTAATGCTGCTTATAGGAATACCTGCTCACAGGCAGTCCCCGGCCACCGGCACCGGGCTGGATCTCTCTCTGCTCCACACTCGGGTTTTGGCCTCAATTTCACATGTTTTAACTGTTGCATTGCTGTCTCTCCCGCTAGATGCAAGATGCATGGGGGCAGGGCCCACAGCTGTGTTGTTCAGTAATGTGTTCTTAGTGCCCCGGGATATTTGAAAGAATGAATGAATATCAATAGAGATCCCTTGTTATGACGGGGGTAATTAAAAAGAAGATAATAAACCTATTAGGACGTTAGAGGGAGATTCTTATGTTAGATCAGGGATGAATTATCAGTGGTTCTAACCCCAGCAGAGCTTCAGAAGCTGAAAGACTTTAAAAATACAGATTCCTAGGCCCACATCAACCCCCCAGAATCAGAACTCTCTGAAAGTCTGGGTGTCTGCGTTGTGCATCTCTTCCTGGTCGGTTCTGCTACTTGGCCAGGTTAGGAAGCCCCCTTGGATGCATTTGAGTCTGGGGTTCTCTGCATCATGTGTCCCTAGGGTTCTGTACGCTCCCTTCCCCCCTTCCCACTGCCTCACTCTGCCTGCTAGGCTTCCAGGCCAGGCTGTGCGTGTGCCTTGGGCATGGCTGGAGGTCTGGTGCTGGGTCAGGCATGGGTTCTGATCAGCTGGGTGTTTACTGAGCAAAGTTCAGCCAGGGTAGCACTATGGTTCCGGGTTTAATAGATACCCAGGCTTTCAGGCTTTTGATTCAGAGCCCGGTCCCTGGGGCCCTTTTTGGTGGATGATAATGGACTCCCTGTGTGAGTCCCCAGGGCCAGTGGTACTCACTCTTCTTGGCTGACCCCGGCCTGCCCTCCAAAGACCCAGGGGCCTAGGCTGTGGGCCGTCTGGGTGGGCAGACTGTCACTGCCCAGCCATGACTGCTGCTGGCTTGCTCTCCCTGGTCAGGAAGTACCCTGTTCCAGCTCAGTGCTTTGGTTTCCCAGCTTTGATGACAAAAGGCACAGGGAACCTTCTCTCCTGGGGGCCACAGAGAACCTGGGAATCATTCACTGCAGCCCATTCTAAAGGTCTGGGTACATTCTAAAGGGCAGCACGTTTCAAATTATCATCCAACCAATTAATCAGCAAAGACCTTACTGAGCTTGCTGTGGACATGCTACCTGGGAAAGTCTAGAGAAGGAGGTATAATATCTCACCTTGACAAGTTCATGATCTAGTTAGGGGCATAAGAAATTTACAATCCTACCAAAGGATTACTAATTATTATATAGCAGATTGCAATTTTATTAAATGCTTACTCTGTACCTGATTTTATACTAAGCACCCACTGTGCTTCTCATTTACTAGGCCAGCGACTCCTTATGTGACATTCTTTTGATAAGAAATTGCACAGAGAGGGTTAGTAACTTGCGCAGGATCATGGATCACACAGCTAGAACCTGGCAGGGGCAGATGTCGAGGCCTGTGCCATCCAGACTCAGAGTGTTTGCTCTTATGCCGGCCTCTACCGCCCCCTATGCTGAGCACTACCTACACCCCTCTGCCTACCAGGCTGGAGGAGGAAGCCACTTCTGTGGGCAGCCGTGGGCGGCCAGGAGGGTTGTGCTAAGTCTGGAGCCAGGACAAGTCAGGAGGCTGAGACCTGTGAGCAGGGATCCTGACCATGGGAAATCTCAAGTAAAGAGGAGGACATAAAACATGCAAGGAACATGAAGAGAAGTCGGGGTTTATGCCCAGCCAGAGCTGGGGTGTAGGTAGCACTTAGTGTGCAAAGTGGTTGGAAATGGGGATGAGCTGACCCAGCCCAGGACTTTCCATTGTCCATGAAGTTTGCCGGCCTTAATCGATGGGATGGAAGGGAGCCATAGAAGGTTTGGGGCAGGAGGAGGGGCGATACTGGGGGAAACTGTCCAGGAAGTCCCATGTGCAGGCACAGCTGAGGTGAGCGGGCACCCTGGGGTGGGGGCTTGGCCGGGAGGGAGATGAGCACCAGTGACATTGCTTTTCACAGCCACAGCTCCAGAACAAGCCCCGGCCCCACCCCGGCCGTACCAGGGGGTCCGCGTGAAGGAGCCCGTGAAGGAACTGCTCCGGAGGAAACGTGGCCACGCCGGCAGCGGGGCGGCTGTCACACCTACGGCGGTGAGGGGGCCACCGCGGCCAGTGTGCGTGTATGCGTGCGCGTGTGCGTGCGGCAGGGTGTCCCACGGGGCCGGGTGGGAGCGCTTTCTTGCTCTATGGGATGCTCTCCGAGGCCATGAAGGCGGCACATCGCCATGGCGTGGCTGCTGAAGAACGGACCCCGGCGGCAACGTCAGTGACGCCCGAGGTAGGATGAGGGGGACGGACGGGCTGGCTGGCTCGGCCCGAGGGAGCAGATGACCCCCACCGTCCCGGCGTGAGCTGGGGGCTCCCCACCGGAAGAGGACCCTGCGGGTTCCCGAAGTGCGCAAGGTTCTTGCGAAATGGAAACGCGAATCCCCCCATAGTATGGGTGGTGAGGGTTGGGACATGGGGTGGGTATTTTGCTCTCATAAGGAAGACCCTCCCCTCTACTCGCCTGCCCTGGGGCCCTCGGGGCAAGTTCTTTGCAGAGGGCCTGTTGGAGATAGCTGACCTGGTCTCCCCTCTCCCTCTAGGTGGTGCTGCCCCATCAGCCCCTGGCGACCTACACCGCAGTGGGTAAGAGCTCCCACAGTCCTGGGGACACCCCTCAGGTCCCCCATCGGGGTGACACCTGCAGCACTTTCCTTCTTCCCACAGGTCCTTCCTGCCTTGACATGGAGGTCTCTGCTTCCACGGTGACGGAGGAGGGGGCCCTGTGTGCCGGCTGGCTCTCCCAGCCTGCCCCGGCCACCCTCCAACCCCTGGCCCCGTGGACACCCTACACAGAGTATGTGTCCCACGAAGCCGTCAGCTGCCCCTACTCAGCGGACATGTACGTGCAGCCCATGTGCCCGAGCTACACGGTGGTGGGGCCCTCCTCTGTGCTGACCTACGCCTCCCAGCCGCTCATCACTAACGTCACGGTATGTCACGCAAACACATGGCTGCACCAACCCACGCCAAGGGCTCCCTTTGGAATGCGGGCTGACTTCCTGACCCCTGATCATTCCTGCTACTGACTTGCAGGATAATGGAGTCGTCAAGCCCACCCTGTCCTGCAGGGAGGCCTGGGCCTGCTCTTATTCCCAGGGACCTAAAATAGCTTCCACAAAGAAGGCTTAGGGCCTCCCTCCTCATACCTCAGGCTCCTCAGGGTTGGGATGTTCTCCAGCCTCTCTGCCCTAAATCTCCCCTGCTGCCCCCAAAGAGGCAAGTCTTGGTTGGAAGTTTAAGTTTTCAGTGAGTGGGCTATCAGGTGAGGTCTATGTGGGGTCTTGTACCGGAGTCAGTGTCTTCTTTCTATTCAGATACCTTGGGGGGTGATTGTTCACTTAACAATGGGACTTTCCAGATGATCTTAAGGCTAAGCAACAGGTGACACAACTTTTCAGAAAACTACCTTTCTTTTTTTTAAAGATGTACTTATTTATTTTTAGAGAGAGAGAGAGCGTGCAAGCATGTGAGTGGGGGAAGGGGAGAGGGAGAGAGAGAGTCCTCAAGCAGACTCCCCACTGAGCACGGAGCCCAATGTGGGGCTCGATCTCACGACCCTGAGATCATGACCTGAGCTGAAACCAAGCGTCAGACACTCAACTGACTGAGCCACCCAGGTGCCCCACAGAAAACTATTGTCGATGAAGTCAGACCCACCTGCAGGGTAATGTTTTGAGTGCTGCCTCTAGCATCAGATTGCCCGGGTTCAATTCATTGTCCCTTCACTTAGGAGCTAGAAGACCCCGGCCTGAGTGACTTAATTTCTCTGAGCCCTGGTGTCCTCATCTGTGAACTGGGAATACTAACAAGAGGGCTGATGTCAGGATCAATTGGGATGATACATGTGGAGGACTTAGCATCACCCTTGGCATGCAGAAAACACTCCATAAATGTTATTATGATGGGTTAAAGTTGGTCAGCAACATTCGCCAATGGCTGCCTCCAAGTGCCAGGTGGGAAAGCAATGACGAAAGCAAGAAAAATAGTTTTATGTGAGTGGTACCTGTTTGAGCAAAGGAATGGGAATCCCCCAAGTGTTCAGAGGAGAAGAGGCCTATGGGTAGAGCCGTATCCAGCTTCAGTTCAGGGAAAACTGTGGGAAGGGGAGCTGGGGCCTCATGAGTAGCTGCAGAGCCCACATTGATGTTGGATTGCTTTGGTTCCCTGCCTCCCAACCATTTCTCTCAAGGACTCAGCGTCATCCTGATGCACCTGCCTTTTCATCACCATCCAGGCAAGGGCCCCCAGAAGCCCTCCTACCCCATGCCCCACCCCCCAGGCTACCCAGCGAACGGGCTGTGGGGCCTACATGAGGGTGGATAGGAAGGAGTGAATTCAACACCTTTCCCAAGCAACTCATTTCCATATCGGGGGCCTTGGGTGGGGATGGGAGGTGGCAGATATAACTGTTCCCAGTCATTCCAATCCCAAGGATTTCTTTCATTATCTTTCATTAGCCCCACCTCCTACTTTGAAAGGCTCTGTGTATCAAACAAACTCTATTTATTAAGAAATAATTTGTTTTGCCGCTTTGTAAATGAACTCATCAAAGCTAGTTTGAGCTACCAGCCGGCGCTCCTGATGAGCAGGAGATAAGACATTTTGTAGCACTGGGTTGATGGAATTCCATCTCTGAGCCAAGAAACCTGCCATTGCAGGTGACCTGCATGGGTTTATGACTCAAAAAAGGAGGATTTCCATGTGCATTTTTGAGGTACTGGAAATAGTAAGGCTTTGTTGGGAGGCTGGAAGGCCTCGGAGACCCTTTCCAGCTCTAGCATTCTATAGGAAAACACCCTAGAGCCTTGCCCCTCAAACTACGGTCCCTGGACCAGCCACACTGGCATCACCAAGGATCTGAGTGGACATGCAAAGTCCCAGGCCCTCCCCCAGGCCTCCTGGACCAAAATCGGCATTGTCACAAGATTCCCAGGAAAGTGAAATAAGCTCGTCCTGAAATGACTCTAACGGTTTACTCTCAAAACACAGTGGCAACCGGACAGGAATAGGTTGGGGGAAGTAGGGGCAGTAGGGGGAGGTCTGGGTCTCACTCATATCATTTCATGCAGAGTCCTTCCTCCTCCTGCACCTGCTTCCTCAGCTGTAGAAGATAGTAGGGATCCAGGCCCTGCCTCTCGTGCAGGCTTGACCTCAGGTCTGTAGTGTGGTTGCTGCACAGAGGAGAGGCATTGTGTGCAGGGCACCTGAAAAAATGGCCCTGGGAGAGCCATGGGGGGCCCAGCTCAGAGGCGGAGGATGAGGACATGGAAGGTGCTGGAAGCCCTAAGGAAAGCCCTGTTTACTAATAGAGCGGTGCTTCCCAGTGTCCAGGTCTGGCCCGGAGCAGGAGGGAGGTGAGTGGAGCTATGTTGGCCCAGGTGGACCCCAGGATGTTAGAGCTGCTGTATGGAGCCAGGGCTGTCTTCGTGTCTAGCCATGACAGTGGCCAGCCTGGGGATACAGCCACTACACCGCGGGACAGGCTTGTTTAGCATGCTGTATTTTCACTGATTTTTAAGATGTACATTTCCCCCCACCCACATTTTAATATACCTGAAATTGGGATGGAATGTATATTCAATAAAATCTGGAAAGAGCATCTCTAATAGGCTCGGCCCTACGGCATCAGTCCTGTTTGTAATTCTCTCTGTAGGAGAGAAAACGGATGCTTGGGGAGGTACCATGAGCAAGGACATGTAGCTAGTGAGGGGTAAAGTCAGGGGCCCAGCTGAAGTCTGTGTGGCTTCTCCCTTGGGGGAGACTCTGAGCAGGTGGAGACAGAGCCCCTGAGGGAGACAGCAGGAGAGGGGGATGGAGAGATTCCCCCACGGACAAGGACGGGCAAGGACAGGTGGGTCCCCCAGGGCTGCTAACCCTTGGTCCTGTGTCCTCCCCATCACAGACGAGAAGTGCGGCTGCGCCCACAGTGGGGCCCCAGCTGGAGGGCCCGGAGCACCAGGCGCCCCTCACCTACTTCCCGTGGCCTCAGCCCCTGTCCACACTGCCCACCTCCACCCTGCAGTACCAGCCTCCGGCCCCAGCCCTGCCCGGGCCCCAGTTTGTCCAGCTGCCCATCTCCATCCCCGAGCCCGTCCTCCAGGACATGGAAGACCCCAGGAGAGCCATGAATTCCCTGACCATCGACAAGCTGCTTTTGGAAGAAGAGGATGGTGACGCCTACGCACTCAACCACACGCTCTCTGTGGAAGGCTTTTAGGGTGCGCTCCCGCCTGAGAATCCTGTTCCCTGAAACTGGGATTTAAAACAGGATTTAAAACAGGGAACAGGATTCACATCTGTTTGGAGTAGCCATGTTACGACTACACTTTGCACCCCAAACTAGAATGATAGACTTTCCCTCCTCCTTCCTTCCCTCCCTCCTTCCTTTTCCCTTCCTGCCTCCCTCCCTCCCTCCCTTCTATCCTTTCTCATTTCTTTTTCCATTTCTCTTCCTTTTGAAAAATGAATTGTAGGGATCTTAGTGATGATATTGAAGCCAGCGTTGCAAGCCTAGGACCCCGGGGCTTTGATTTCTGCCTCGAGCATTCACCGGAGTAGCAGTGTGGCTGAGCCGGCTTCGGGCCTGGATGCCCTGCCCCACCCTCTGTCATTTAGTGATGGATGCCGTGTCCTGCCACACCTCCAAGGGCAGACCCAATGCCAGACTCCTTGAGCTATCAGTATCCACAGTTGCTCCTTTGTTTGCTGTTCTCAGTGCTGGCCAGATTTAGTCTCAGGCAGCGGAGTCTCAAGGCCTGGGGCTCAGTGAGGCGGTGGGGGGGAGGGGGTAGTCCCGGGAGAAAAGGGAACATCAGAGTGGGTAGGGGCTGGGTCAGGGGACAGAGGAGGGAGGGGAACGAGGTATGGGTATATGAGGGAGTGGGTGAGGTTGGGTTGGAAGAAAGGTTGGGTTGAGAGAAGGAGGGGCTGAGGACCCATTTAGCTCCAGATTACTGGGTTATTAAGAAGGAGAATAAACTTAAGAAAAATATTGGTTTAATGGGTGGTTTTGCTGCTCTCCTTGAGAATACTTGCAAGGAAAGCTGGGCTCTTGTAATCGGGAGGATTAATATGCCTCACTGCCCCCTCCCGTGGGCAGACCCTCGGGGGTGCTTGCTGGGTAAGGGACCAAGACCCACCGAAGCCCAGGGGTGATGGTGTCCTCGCTGAGTGCTGCCTCACGTGCTTCTTGCGTGTCTTAAAAACCTCCGTAAGCCACTGTTATGTAGAGCCAAGGCCTCCTTCCTAAACACTGTCCTTCCTGGGGGCTTCTAGAGCCTCAGCTGGAAGAACCGCTAGGTTTCATTTCGATTTTTATTGTTTTGCTGGGGAAACTTCAGATTTGCAGGTGCTTGGGCACACTTGTTGCTGGGGATGCAGAGCCGCTGTCGCGGCCGTGTGCTTTCAGAACTGGCACGTCTGTCCGCTGATACCACTGTCAGCGTCAGGCAGACACATTAGTTGGCAGAATCCATGGCCAAGGAATAAACTTTTCTCAGAAATGACAGCTTCGTGGACACATTTTCTTTCCCATCTTAAGTAAAAACTCTAGAAAGTTGCCTTTTATTGGATTTTTTTTCTGCTGCGGGATTATTTTGACCCACATTTCTTAGCATCTGCCTAAAATCCCAATACGAATACCTTGAATTGTTTTTATTCAGACTTAATATTTAGATTTTAAAGGTTAAAATTTTTGATACCAAATTTACATCTTTGTTGGTCGTGGCGGTGAGTAGACAAAGGAGCGGAAGTCTCAGGCCTGTTTGGTTTCCTAGAGAAAACACTATGCAAGATTTTTCAGCTTATTATTTGAGGGTTTGCGACTATGCAGAAGCAATCTCCATAAGGGGGTTTAAATTGGCAAAAACTAGCATAGAAATAAAGTACTTTAAGTATTTGCTAAGATTTATACAGTCTTTTTTTTCTCCTTATCTTGAGGTAAAAGGTCTTGGTTGTAATAGTCTCTCTAGATTTCTTCCTGGGTTTTCCTGCTAAGATGGAAACATTTTAATAAAGATTTACTCAGACTTTTCTTTGCCAGAGTGTTTTATTTCTTATCAAATTAATCCCTCTTAGCTTGCAGTCCCACGTCAGGCAGGGTGAGTGCAGGCAGGAGCTTACACGAGTCTTGTTGACTTTGCAACTTGATCTACTTCAAGGGAAGATGGAACGGGCCCCTCGGGCCGGCTGTCCAGTTCCTGGGGCAGAACACAGGAGGCCAGGAGGCTGGGTCTCCAGGAGAGCAGGGATCTGAGGCAATGAAGGCAGACTTTTAACCCTATTGCCCTTGGTGTTATTCATGTTACATGGGTAAAGTCTCATGATGCTCGGTGTCCAGAGGTAAATTCAACCACTGGTGTTTCCATCTGTCAGAACCTATGGGCCTGGGACACGGTGCAGAGCGCTATGCCCAAAGGAAGCTGTTTCTCAGGGCCAGTCATCACAATGAAATGGAAATTCAAGAAGCCCGCCAGTCCCCTCCGACGTGAGTCCTTGGAGTGAGTAACAGTTTGGAAAGATCTCCTTTTCCTGTGATTTTCTGAGTTACTAACAACTTCTGAGTTCACTGCCCTTCACTGTTCATCTCTACTGGGGTAACTTTTTTTTTTAATAGTTTACTTTTTAAAATAAAAAAGATTTTATTTATTTGAGAGGGAGAGCGCACGTACAAGCTGGGGGCGGTGGGTAGGGGCAGAGGGAGAAGCAGACTCCCTCTGAGTGAGGAGCCTGATGCGGGTCTCGATCCCAGAACCCTGGGATCATGATCTGAGCCGAAGGCAGATGCTTAACTGACTTCGACCAACTGAGACAGAATTGCTCGAAGTGGGAACCAGACATCAGGAGTTTTTAAAGCTCGCCAGGTGATTCCAACATGCAGCCAAAGCTGAGAACCACTGCTCATCTACCTTTCCGCCTCCAGTGGTTTTGGGATTACTCTCGTGTCTGAATGCTAAAAACAGATCTCAGATGATGCAACGTGTGTGTGACACATAGAATCAATGATGTTCCATTTAATCGGAGTCGGGTTCCTACCGAACCAGGCAGTGTTATGGGTTGTACTGCAGAAGTTCTTCATTAGAGAGGGAAAGCCCAGAGGTCTTAGCAATCACTACAGCAGGCCTCTCGAGTGGATAGACTCAGTTGAGAGATAGCAGCTAGAGCCATTTTAAATGTCAATTATCTGACAGCCTGAGACTTTCGTTGACTATGTGTAGACCCCTAAGCAAATGTAAGAATGAAACATAAAGGAAAGAGCAGGATGTTTGGAGCCTTCTCCCTCTGGCTCACCCATGTACTTTTAAACCTCAGTCATGGATTGATGTATTCAAATATGGAGCAGGGACACTGGGAGACAGGAGCTATGGTAGAATCCCACAGGTAAGCCACCTCACAGGGCCCTCCCTGGGCAGTGTGCAATGACGAACTTCAAGCCAAACCAAGCTGTAAGGAATGAACCATGCAGGACTGAAAAATCTGCTTATCTCAATGACGGTATAATTCAGCCATGACCAATGTCCTTATTTGCTGTCTTAGAATGCTCCCTACTTCAGTGAAGATGTTGGCATCTGCAGTGACTCAGGAGGGCTCCAGAGAGGTTGTCCCTAGCTTCTGATAAATGGGACTGGAGACCCTTGCTTCATTTGCCACGTGCAATAAATAACTTATGTGCTGGGTACTGTGCTACTTGTCGGGGAATTCAAAAAGTCAGGGCATAGCCCTTATTACAAGAAACTCAGGGTTATGGAGCAAATGGAAGGTTCTAATATAGGAAATGAGTAGAGCGGTAAATATAAACCGAGGTGTGTTCTGTACCTCACATTTACTAATAAAGCTGTTACTACTATCTCATTTAATCCTCACAAAAAGCAAATAGGGAATGTACCATTCTAATTCCTGTTTACAGTGGGGAGAAACCCTTAAAGAGGTTAAGTAACTGGTCCAAGTTCACATGGTGACCTCAATTCATCAAGCAAGTAGTTACTGTTTCCCCCGTGCATAAAGGGGGATGCAGATGAAGATACGGATGAAGATAACTGGAGGGTTGGAATGTCCCCACCTGGAGTGCCTCAGATTACAGTAACCCAGGGGTCTCTGTATAGGGAGAATCCATTCCAAAGGGAGCAGGCAGGGAGGGGTGGACACAAAAGTTTCAGTCAACACTGAATCCAGAATGGATGAGCAGAGAGGTGGCTGGCATTTTAGGCCAGCCTGCTGGTTGCCTTGAGATCTAGAATCTCCACGGTTAGTGGTATTCCCCCTCAAAGTCATCTATGCTCTCTAGTAGCTTCACGGTGCTAATTACCTATGTCCTAATATCCAAACTCCGTGGCTTTTGCTACTAAATGAGGTAATAGCATTTTGGACATATGGTATATACACAATATAAATAGATAAATCAATGGATGTAGATTTACATAACTAAATATATTTCATGGATTACACAGATTGTAGCCAGAATTCTTACCTGTTTGTACTTCCGTGGTCTCTATGAAGCTTTGTCCTTCAACTGACCTATATCCAATGGGTGTCCACAGAGGCAGCAACATGGCACGTGCAGAGGCTGTTTCTCAGGTGTCTTGATTTTCAAAGTTGCCGTTAAGATTCTGAGCCTTCCATGCCACCTGTGGGCCTGGATTTTGTTTTCTCTGTCAGTCAAGGGGAGTATCATTTGCCCATTTCTTAGGGTGAGGAATTCTGAGCATTGGTAGGTTGTGGCTGCAAAGCACTCTACCAAGCTTATGCTTATGCTTTCCAAAATTGAAGGATGCGATGATGGTTGCTTTATGTTCATTATGCTTTTTTTTTTTTTGGCATTCCTTTTGATATAGTATTCACCCATTTCAACAAGTGCTTTAGTGAGTTCAATTCTTTTTTTTGTTATGTTAATCACCATACATCACATCATTAGTTTTGGATGTAGTGTTCCATGATTCATTGTTTGTGCATAACACCCAGTGCTCCATGCAGAACGTGCCCTCTTTAATACCCATCACCGGGCTAACCCATCCCCCGACCCCCCTCCCCTCTAGAACCCTCAGTTTGTTTTTCAGAGTACATAGTCTCCCATGGTTGGTCTCCCCCTCCGATTTCCCCCCTTTACTCAAGTCTGACACAATCTGCCTGGAGATAGCTTCGATCCCACAGGTTAAGGGCGCACTCCCACAAGACTGCCCCCCACCACTTCAGATGCCAATAGAAAGTTCTGACCCACGGGCTCTAGATTGGAACTGAGTATTTTACTTAACAGCCAGTTGGAAGAGGTGCAAAAGGCAAAGGGAGTGGTGCACCCCTCTTCCCAAACCTGCAAACATTCACTAATCCAGAAGCTCTCTGAACCCCACCCTTTAAAAAAAAAAAAAAAATTATTTATGGAGGGGAGGGAGAAGCAGGCTCCCGCTGAGCAGGGAGACTGATGTGGGGCTTGATCCCCGGACCCCGAGATCATAACCTGAGCCAAAGGAAGGCGCTTACCCAGCCGAGTCACCCAGACACCCCCCACCCTTTTGGCTTTTTATGGAGGCTCCTTACATAATCACTGATTGACTAAATCATTGGTCCTGGCGATCAATTCAACTTCCAGCCTCTCTGCCCTCTCAGGAGGTTCCAGGCGCCAATCACAGGTTGGTTCCTCTGGCAACAAGGCCCTCCTCAGGTTACCTAGGGGCTTTCCTAAATCACTTCATTAACAAAACAAAAAACACCTTTATCCCTCTGTCACTTAGGAAATTCCAAGGGTCTGTGCTGGGAATGGAATGAAGACTAAATTTCTATTTCTTAAAATCACAGTATCGTATCGTAGTGAGTAACTGCTATGTCCAGCCATGGTACTGGGACGCTTTATAAATCAAGAATTCCTTGCCTTTCTTTTTTGTTTCCTGACATAGTTAACATAAATCAGAATATCTAAGGGGCTCAAATTAAATGTATTAAACACCTTGGGCAATTTCAACATAGAATTCAGTTTTTGCAAATTATTCATCAGAGTACTCTATCCTGTAGATTTGATTTAAAACTGCCTTTCAGAGGAAGGAAAGATGTGGTATGAAGTATGAAGTTTTTATGAAATAATTCGACGTAGATATTTCTCTTTATTCTGAAGGGAATTCTCTTTTGTTTTTCCAAATATCTTGGACTTACATATCCACGTTTCCCCTTTTTAAACAGAAATCTACATGCCATCCTACTAAACGGAAAAGCATAATCCTTTCTGCACAAGCGGATAAAGAGTCCAAGGGCTTTGTGGTAAAGACCCATTAACGATGCCCAACTGCCACTGTAGACCTGTATTTCTGTCTTTCTGCCTAGGGAAGCAAGTCAGGATAAAGATTTTTTGGAGTTGCAGCATTTGGCCCTCTTGGTCCCGGGAACACTGACGCTGGTCTATGAACTTGAAGACAAGGGGCTTTTGAGCTTGCCTGCCAGCTCACCGTAGTGACTCGGCAACAACTCACAAGGACGAGTTTCAATTCGCGCCTGTGTTCCACCGGCAAGTTCTGATTAGACGCACTTTTGAAACGGAATTAACAGGCTCTTCCACACAATCAAAAGCCATTGTTACCTCATCTGAGGTAGTGGTACATAGTGAAAAGAAGAACAGTTTAGAGCAGACAAAACTAGGTTTCAATGGGTATAATATATATAATAATATAATTAAAGTGCCCATTGTAACGTCTGACATTTCTATCATAAGCCTTCCATAAACATTAGCTCCTCCTAAGTAGAAGGTGAGAAGATCTTGCATCTTACACTTAGCATTTAAAAACAGCTCACAGGTATGCTAGGAACACTTCATAAAACAAAATTTAAAGGCAAATTAGCTTTCTTGTAGCTGATACTAAAACAGGATTTCCTGGCTGCAAAATAATTTACCTTGCTGTTTACAGCAGTCGCTTGTCACCAGTTTTAGGTCTGACATAAGAGTATCTTTCATATACTTGAATAATGTAGTTGTCATAACCCTTATCATCTTGGCGACCCCAGTTATTAAAATTAGAATGTACGCACAGACTTACCAAAAACGCAGTATA